CAGTTACCCCAAAATAACATGTTACTTAAGGGAAATTAGGGAACATTAAGTGCCTAGGACAGCTCTCCGCTGGCTCTTTTCCTCTTTTCTTTTCCTCTTTTCCTCTGTCTCTCTGTCTCTGTCTCTCTCTTCTGCCCTGCCCTGCCCTGCCCTGCCCTGCCGGGCCATCTGCCTTACAATGTGGTTCTTAGTGACTCTGGACTCGCTGGGGAGCAGCCTGCTTGTTCTCCATTGGCTCGAAGTGGATGTGTAGGTGATTTGGGCTTGGTAAAAGTGCATGACCCCTCCTCCAGCCCTTCCCTCATTCTCAGGCATTCTCCGAGAGGGTGGAGACCCTCACGCATGTCTCTGATGTCACCTACGGCCTGCTGTACTCAAATCCAGTGGCCATACCCTCCTCCTATCTGGAGGTGGTGCTACTAATTGGAAGGCTCTGTTTATTTTCATCATGTTCTAGTCCAGTGGCTTCTTGAACAGCAGTTACAAAACTTGATGTCTGTGAGCCTAGCAACCTCACCGTGCTGGTCAGCATGCTAGTTGGTGCCTACATGTGGCAATTCAAATGCAACTTCCTGAAGATGGAAAAAAAAACCAACATTCACATATGTCAAGTGCACATTAGCAGATGTGCTTATGGCTCTTCTATTGGACAGTTCAGAATGGCAGATCATTCTAGAATATATTGCAGAAGACTCTTGGGCGGCATCGCCCAGGCCTTTCCTCTGGCACCCTCCTTGTGTGTGACCAGCATGGCCACTCACGCAGCTGTTGAAGCCCGTCACTGAGGGCTGGGTATGTCTAGCAGTGGTCAATGAGAGACTCTAGCACTAGATGGCCTGAGGTGGCGTTTTCAAGCTCTGTGGTCTGAACTGCTTTGTATCTCAGTTTCTCCACCTGCAGAACATGTATAGACAGTTTCTACATCGAGGAGCTATGAAGGTAAAGCAACACGCACATCTGGTTCCCAGCAGAGCACACAGCAGACTTCATGTGAGGGCCTCGATCATTCTGGACCATGATGGAACCCAGCTTCTCCCTCCTCTTTTGTATCCTTGGCTGGGCAAGTCTTTGTCCCTCTGACCAATCTCCCAGCGTGGCCTGGGCCCCGCCCTCCCCTTGATGTACGGCTCCCTCAGGGCCTGGGTGGGAGCCGGGGTTGGAGCCAGGGTAGCAGCAGAAGGCCACTCAGCTGAGCTGCCAGTGCCCAGCACACATGGTGCCGCGTGAACGGCCCACGGTGCTTTATTCATGAAACACTGAATTTCCGACCCTGGAAATCAGTCATTTCGTGGTGAGATGGTGACTCAGGGATGGCTGTGGGCCTGGGGGCTTTCCAGCAACCTAGTTAGATGAAACCACAGGGCCACCTTCCCGGCCCACGGTGACCTACTTCTCAATTCCTGTAGTCTCAACATCCAGTGCGCAGGATTCTTTGAGGCTAGCCGAGCTTACCTTGGGGACTTGCTGAGACACGGGAATTGAAAGGCAGGTAATGGACTTGGGCCTTGAGAAACGGGGTGGGTGGTGGCCCGTGGCTCCCATGGTGGGAGCTGGGTACAGGAAGGGGGCTCCGAGGACCCCTGCTGCGTGGCTCCAAGTGCCTCTCTCTCCCCAGGAATGGGACACGAGGCTGACCCGCCACACTTGTCTGAGGCTGTCTGGACCCTCCTACCCTTGCTGGGCTACTTTCCCAATGACGGTGACGAAGGTTGAACAGTTTCTCACTCAGATCCTCATTTTGCTTTTAAGAGTGAAGTGAAAATTGAACTTCTGAGTCCCTCCTAATGGAGCTCCCCGGAGGCAGGCTGCTCCTGGGCTGCCGGCAGGGCCAGGATGGATGAGCCGCCAGCAGAGGCCCCCCCATTCCGGTCGTCGCGGGGTGTGTTTGATATCGGACCTGCCTGGCACCCAAGGGAAGCAGATACCCCAGCTGCCAAGTTCTTCTCCCTTTGTGTCTTGCCCAGTTCCACTCATCATGAGCACTGCTTTTTCTGCCAATCCCCGCTCCCTTCCCACAGGGGCAATGGCCCAGACCTCCAGCCCTGAGCCTCCCTGGCTCTCCATCCTAGGCAGAAAAGTCCACTCATGTATCAGATCCCACTGGTTCAGAAGCCCCTGGAGGTCTGGCAGCCCCCTGGTCGTTGCTGTCGGAAAGGACAGAGAGTCTGGTACGAACTAATGATTTGGCAAGTATGAAAGAGGCCATGCCAGGCAGCGGCTCCACCCTGCACCAAAGGGATGGTGCCGGGGAGGCCCAGGCCCCAGCCTCCCAGGGGCTCTACGAGTTGTAATGGGCTGCAGGAATAGGACAAATCTGAACAGCGTGGTCTGGGATCGACTCCCTCAGCTTTCCCTGCTGGGGAAGTGGCGGGCTCTCCTAGGCGAGGTCAGTGGCTTCCAGAGCCCACGTGCAAAGCACCAAGGCTGATATGTCCCAGTAGGTTGTCACCTTGTGATGGCAAATGCTCTGTGGACATCTGGTTTAGATGCATGTGAGAGTTGAAGCCAGCCAGGACCTGGCTAGAGTAGGTTACCACATACTTGTATCTGAGAATTTCTTGACTTCACCAAATCTCAGCTGACTCATTGTTAAAATGGGTTTAATAAAATTTCCACATTTTATTCAGTAATTTTCCCCCTAACTAAGGAAACAACCTGTTCGTTGACAGATGGATACATAAGGAAAATGTGGTATGTACATATAATGGACTGTTATTCAGCCTATATAAAGAAGGTAATTCTGTAATATATGATCATATGGATAGCTTTAACATCATTAAGAAAAACAAGCCGGTCACAGAAGACAAATGCAGCAGTATTTCACCATATGGGGCATCTAAAGCAGTCAGACATGTGGAGTCCAAGTGTGGGATGGTAGTTGGTTAGGAGGCAGAGAGAGAGGGGTGGGGGATGAGCTATTGATCAACGGGCAGAAAATTTCACTTGAGCAAAGAGAATAATACCTGGCGAGCTGTGTATGGCATTGATGGTCAACAGTAATTTAACGTACAGGCGGACCTTTGTTTAGTATTCTCATTAAGTGTTCTTACACCCGCATGAGGAAAAAACCACATTGTAGAGGAGCAAGCATTAAAATGTTTAGATAAGTAAGTACTTGACAGTAAGTAGCTGTTATTATTGGATTGTTGGAGACTAGGTGGAGGCCAGAGGGCATCCATTGACTGATGTTTATATGGAGGTAAAAACAATTAGATGACTATATATGAATTTTGGCTATGGAATATTGGTTATTTTGCCTTCTTTATTTTATGCCAGCATGAGCAGTTGAACTCAGAGCCTAGGCACTCTTAAGTTAATGCTTTACCACTGGAGCCACAGCTACACTTCTGGCTCTTTGGTGGTTAATGGAAGATAAGAGTCTCACTGACTTTGTTGCCCAGGCTGATGCTCAGGTCTTAGCATCCTGAGTGGTTAGGATTACATGTGCTAGCCACCTGACTTGTTTGGACTTTAACTCATGTTGTTAAGCCTCACACTTTGGAGAAAAGCTGCGTCCTTATTTCTGACCTTCATGAATTGAAATGTTGATTAGACTCTGTCTGTGTTATAGAACTCCAGATTTGTAAGCTTACAATGCATTGACAACGTGGAAAAGCCGTTTCCTTTGCTAATTTCTGTTACTCAGCCCACAAGTTTCTTAAACAATTGTGTTTTTAGGCAAGTGCACGTTAAAGCACGTTCTTAGTTTTGCTAAAGTCATGTTGTGTCCTTGCCTCCACACTCACAGGCTTGCCAGGCCTCTTGCGAACCCTCAGCCCGTGGGGAGGTGTAGGATCTGAAGCGGAGAGTGAGGAGAGCCCAATGGGACAACCAGCCCCTCCCTCCCACAGAGGAAGACACAGAAATAACTAAATGCTAAAAAACATTTCAGGGAAAACTCACCAAAACTGACTTTAGTCTTCAGTTGGCTCAGGACAGGTTGGCTGGAGCTGAGGGATAACATGAGCCCCCGCTTCTCCTCCCAGCCCCAAGCCGGGTCCCCGGGGGACATCTTCCTCCTCAGCCGAGCCCTCTGTCCAGGGCGCCGCTGACCTCCTCTCCTCCATAGCAGGTGTCCCCCCTCCCCCCTCTCCCCAGGCCTCCAATCCTGCAGCGCTGGGACGCCTGGCCTTCCAGTGGCCTTCCTCCACGGGCCCCAGTCTGGAAGCAGACCCGCTGCCCAGAGGGTACCCCACGCATTCATGGAACAGTCTGTGGCCCTTCTTCCCCGTGGAGCAAGAAGGCATGGCTAGTTGGAGAGGTTGCTCTCTGGTCCCCTCCCTAACTCCCTGTGTGTCCATACAAAATACCCCGGGACTCTCTTCATTACAGCTGCTCCTTTTGTGTATGTTTGGGGAAGTGTATGCGGCTATTTACACCTCAGACCTGTGGCCCAAATGCCCTGCTGCCGCTATGAATCTAAACCAAGCTGACCCAGTAGCTGACCGAGAGACACAACATGAGGAGGTGATACCGATCCATAGCCTTGAAATGCTCGCACCTCTCCCTCAGCACCTAACGCCCAGATGCTTATTCCCAGGAAATTGATAGTCTCATAAAAGTCTATGCTCAGGGACTCTCATTTTTAAAATTTATCTCATCAGGTGCCAGTGGCTCACACCTGCAATCCTAGCTACTCAGGAGGCTGAGATCTGAGGATCGAGGTTCAAAGCCAGCCCCAGGCCAGAAAGTCCCTGAGACCCTTCTCTCTGCAAAAAGCCAGGAGTAGACCTGTGGCTCAGGTGGTACAGAACCAGCCTTGCGCAAAAAAAACCTACAAAAAACAAAACAAAAAAAACAACTTTGGAGAATGCCCAAGGCCCAAGATCAAACCCCAGTACACCCCCATACACTTTCTCTCTCTCTCTCTCTCTCTCTCTCTCTCTCTCTCTCATGCACGCACACACACAAAAATATTTCTCTCATTCATATAGACATAAAATTGGAAATGAACAAACTTATTGTCCTAATAGAAAACATTTTTTTGTGTTTATGTGCAGAAAATATTTCAAAGCCACTAAAATTGGACCAAGCAACTCACATTAAAATCATCTGGAAGAGTGGTTTGTAACCTAGGAAATCATGAATGCTGTAATACTGGGCTTCAATATTAGAGGTAAAGTTGTAATACTGTAATTTCAATAGGTAAAAGTATAAACATGGATATCATGGTAGGTGTCCAGAGAGAGAGTCAGTGGGAAAGTGAATCATGTGATCACGTGTCACATAAAGTTAAATAAGTGTGTGAGTACATGAAGTGTGTGCGCGCACACACATGTGTACACACATGCACCAGTCCACCTCATGAAGGAATCAAGATTATTTTCAACACTCACTTGTCAGAGTCTTGAGTAATTTATGGACACACTTGGAACCCTTACTTAGCCAGTACCATGTTGGCTGTGAGAACCAAGAGAGGAAGCGCAGCCTCTCTGCGCGGACACTTTCTCATCGCAGCAGATGTGGAGGAGGCTGCCGGGCAGGTCCTCCATACCTACCTTCTCCCAGCCATGGGGCCAAGCTGTGTCCCTCTTTATGGAACACAGTCTAAGCAGGCTCGAGGGGCAGAGAAGTCAATAAACAGTTGCAAATTGAATCTCACTTTCCACAACAAGAGAACAAAAACCCTGGGAGGAAAGCTATCATCATCATCATCATCATCATCATCATCATCATCATCATCATCATCATCATCATCATTGCTATCCTCATCATCCTGCAATGGATAAAGGAAAATGCCCGGAGGTGTTTACCTGATGTGGTCCACAACTGCCTTTTGCCTCTGATTCCTACTGGACTCAAACGCTCAGAAGATGCCAGGTGCACACCAGGAGGTGCCAGGTGCCCTTTTCAGGAGTGGAGTCCTGCTGCTGTTCGGTGGCCTGGCTGGAGAGGAGGACATATGGGTGATGGGCCATCCTGGCTGTGGGGTTCAGGACAATCCTACCCGGGGACCCCCAGGGCCATGTGGGCACGAGCGGCACAGCACAAGGCCAAGTGCAAATTGTTTTAAAATATGAGAACGAGCTCTGTTCAGGTGCTGCCAAAGAGCTCTCCATTTCAGCCCAGAGTGATTCTGTGCGCGTTTTCTACGATCATCCAATAAAGAGGCAACTGTTCATGGAGTCGTTAAGCTGCGCTTTTTGGAGAGTCTGTCGGGGGAAGCAGGCCACAAATTTAACCTGATTTGCTAAACGGATTTTAGTGCTTTTGTCAAAGCCACATCAAACTTTCAAATCTGCAGACTCCCCCACACCCCTCCACTGTGAAATTATTTCCCTGAGCCCTTGGAGTCAATGTGAGTTTGTGGCTATTCAAAAAGCTGGAGTATACCCAGGGTTACTGTGTGGCTCCTGACCTCAAAGATAACATGAAGTATAGAATTCCCATAGGAACTCAGGTGGTGTGGGGTGTGGGGTGTGGGAACCATGGGGGTCAGGGGTTCAGGAGAGGGGGTCACCTACCACCCAGCGAGCACCCCTTCTGTTCAGTGCTGATCTGTGTTCGGCCTGTGCAGTTGGGTGGCGCTCCACGCTGGAAGGTTCCGTGCTTGGCTTCACGCTCTGGAGCTGTTGTTGGGAAGATCATGGTGCGATTGTGAACGCAGCACTTCACATCTTCATTTTGCGCCAAGAGTTTCCTTTCCTTCTGGACACGGTCAGGCCAGACCTCCCAGGCTCCCTGGCAACTGCAGTGGCTGAGTCTCACAGAAGGAACGGGCGTGCATTTACTCCATGCAGGATCCTTACACATCCGTGCATGCACACAGATCTACATATATAACACACATACACACATAACACACACACACACACACACAGCTGTGCGGTGTCTCAATTGTGCACTTTCACTACAGCTGCTGTACCCACCCCAATGCCGCTCCTCCGGCAGCTTCAGGGAGATACAGTCCAGGGCAGAGCCCCTGCTTTTCTCTTCGGTGAGCTGAGTGTGGCTTTGGAAGCCATGTGTTGAGGTGCGGGCTTCTCCGCACCTGTGTGTTCCTGAGCTCCCTGCCTGTGCCCCGGTCCCTTGGAACGGCCCCCGACTCTCACAGGGACAGCACACAGTCACAGCTTGTGTTCCGCAGCCTCACGTTCTACTCTGTGCTCCCCATTTTGTCAAGGAAATAAAGCTTTCTAGAGAACTAGCTCCAAAGCTGTGTCCTCTGAGGCAGAACTGGGTGAGAGACGGCCCCTCTCCCCTGGAAACGCTGGGAGTAGGGAACCAGATTGTCAGGACCGTGGTAGACTGATTGTGTCTCTCACTAGGGTTGGACTCATGGCTGCTTAGACTGCAGCTGGATTCTTCCAGCAGGAACTCAGGGAGAGCCCCATGTAGTGCACAACTATAGGCCCAAGGACTTGGGAGGCTGTGCCAGGAGGATTGGGAGTTTGAGGCCAGTCTTGGCAAAGGTAACAGCCAGATTCTGTCTCAAAAAATCAAAGGTCTAGCTAGGTGCCCGTGGCTTATGCCAGTAATCCTAGCTACTCAGGAGGCTGAGATCTGACCATGGCAGTTCAAAGCCAGCCCGGCCAGGAAAGTCTGTGAGACTGTTATCTCCAATAAACTACTCACAGAACCAGAGGTGGTTCCAGCTGTGGCTGGAGTGGTAGCGCACTCGCCTTGAGCCAAGAGAAGCTAAGGGACAGTGCTCAGGCCTAGAGTTCAAGCCCCAGGACTGGCAAAAATACAAATAAAAAGTAAAAATAAAAGGGCTGAAAGTGTAGCTCAAGTAGCAGAACACTTGCTTAGTATGTGTGAAGCCCTGATTCAGTCCCCAGTACCACAGAAAGGAGGAGGAAGAGGAGAAGAAGGAAACGAGAAGAAAAGACAGTAGGTCAGTAACGAATAGTGTGTCTCACAATTTGCAAAGCAGTTTTGGGTAGTGGGGTTGTTTGAGGTGATAGGCAGGGGAGAAAAGCTGGAGGGACTCCAGACCCTCTTCTGGAAGGGCAAGGAAGGAGGTTTGAGTCTGGAAACCTTTTGGATACAAAGAAATCTCAGATCAAGGTGATACCAGGGCAGCTCTCGTCTGCAGTGATGCTGGCTCACACTTGCTCTCTTGCCGGTCCAGTCCCCGTGACTCTGTCTCTCCATGGTGGAGGCCGGTGGGGGTGGCTGATGGTCTGCCTGCTCCCCCAGACCACTAACAGGCGCGCTTGACCCTCGCTCCAGTGCTCTCCCTGCCAGGTCCCGTCACCTGCTTCTCATAACCTGTGTGCCTTCGCCCTGTTCCTTCTGTGCCTGCCCGTGACACGGGGACCTTTTGCTCTCCTGTGTGTGTCTTTGGAGTAGTGTATGTCTTCAGTGCTGTCTGGTAGAAATGGAGCGGTGCTGTCTGGTAGAAATCTAACTTAAGTTATCTAGCAGCCATTTTTTTTTTTTTTTTTGTAATGGGGCTTGAACCCAGGGCTCATGCTCTCCTTTAGCTTTCTTTGTTAAGGGTGTTCTTCCATGTGAGCCGGCACAGCTCTACTTTTGCTTGTTGCTGGCTAACTGGAGATGAGAGTCGCATGGACTTTCTTCCAGGCTAGCTTAAGCACGATCTCCAGGAATAGCCAGGATTGTAGGTGTGAGTCTCCAGCACCTGTCACCATTTCTAAGAAGATTTTTTTAAAAAGTTAAGAGTTGGGCTGGGAAGGTGGCTCAGTGGTAGAGCGCTTGCCTTGCATGCCTGAGGCCCTGGGTTCGATTCCTCAGCACCACATAAGCAAAAAGAAAAAAGCCAGAAGTGGCGCTGTGGCTCAAGTGGTAGAGCGCTAGCCTTGAACTGAAGAGCTGAGGGACAGCACCCAGGCCTGAGTTCAGGCCCCACAACCGGACCCCCCCCCCAAAAAAAAAAGTTAAGAGCTATATTTTAGTCCGTTTAATATATTGAACATAAAATTTCAACATGTGATCAGAACACCCACCATATGATGTCTTATGCTCTTTGTATGAAACCTTTGAGATCAGGTGTGCATTTTATACTCGGCATATCTCAACACAGACGGACATTTTCAGGGACGTAGCCACATGGTGGAGAGTACTGTGTTAGAGTACAGGGTTCCAGAGGAGCCATCTGCCCTTCATCCTCAGTGTCTGCAGAGGAGGAGGCCCCAAATACTAAGTACCTAAGTACTTCCTGAATGAATGGATGGATGAATGAGTGAATTCACCCACACCAATAAGAACGAATGGGTCTTTTTTACGCAGAAGTGGGTGGAGGTGGGCCTTGGAGGTCTGGAGCAGTGTGTGTGGATGCCGGGAACACTGGCTTCCACCCCCCTTGCCTTGGGTGTGGCTGTGTTCGCAGTGACCCAGATGGAGTCACTCAGCCTCTTCTGTGCAGAGACAGCGGTGGCTCGAGGCGCAGATTCAAGGAGCTGGGTGGCGCAGAGCTTGGAGTAACTGGGGCGGGGCTCTGGTCGTGTAAGGGGCATCTGTGATTATGTTGAGCTAGATGCCGGATCACAGGAGGACTTGGAGTTTTGCAGTAGCGCTGCAGTTGGGTGATGTGTGCCGTGCTCTGTTTGTCTACCCCCCACCCCCACCCCCTGTTTGGGGAACTATCCTGAGTGATCTCAAAGCAGTACCTGATTGGTTTTTTTGGGGGGAGGGGGACGGTTCGGTCATGGTTGGGGAAAGTCTGCCCCAGCCTCAGGGCTCAGAAAGCAAGGGCCTGTGCCCAGCAAGGCAGCCCCTGCCCTGGAGGCTCTGATGCGTCCTGGTCCCTCCAGAGCCTGGGGCTGGCTCTCTCCAGATAGAGGCTGGCCCTCACCCCTGCTGGGCCCCTCCTTGCCCCCCCCCTCCCCGGGACACCCCCTGACCAATTCCTCTAAATTCACTGACTGGAAGCACAATTGTCAGCAATAGAACTCAAGCATTCCATGATCATGTAACCTAGTCCTGGAGACAAACCGTGAACAAAATGAACCAGAGGCCTCGTGGTGCGGAGCAAAGCAAAGCTAACCTAATGAAAAGCTGCTTTGTGGTATCAGGCAGGAAACGAAACAGCTATAAGTGGCAAACATTCTCCAGCATCGAATGCGCCACTCATCTTGGCATTCTTTCCCCTTTGTCCCCTTTAAGGAGAGGAGGAGGGTCCAGGAGTAGCTCGGACAGGACGGGAGAAGAACTGGGGGCCAGCTGTCCTTCAGAGCCTGGGTCACCGCCTGATCCTTGCAGGAGGCTCGTGCGTGTAGAAGCGCCGACGCAGGGCAGATTCTGCCGGACTCTCATTGATTCTTTTTTTGGAACCACTGGACAAATGTTTGCTCCAATCTGTCACCACTGGAAGAACCATACATGTGAAAAATTTCCATATTAGCTTGTAAATCCACTTAACAGGGGGTGGAGAAACCCCATTCCCTCCTGGGTAGCGTTTTACGTCCCTTGCCGAATGCATTGTTTCTGATTTTCACCAAAAGTCGTTTCTTACAAAGAAGATAAAATCCCAGAGAAACATATTGGCTGTCTTTTTCCTGAAGGAAAAAAATGACACCTACTTATTGGGTGCCAAACCACGAGAAATGGAAAAGGAAGCCAGAAATGCGCAGCACTGATAGACTCTAGCTTAGCTGCACTTTTGAAGATGTATTTATAGATGTCAAACAGGATATGGCATCTGTGGTGGCTGATGTGTGGCTCAGTAGACACACCTTAATGGATTAAAACACAGAAATCCATTTGACGATCTTTAAAGAAATAGGTAGTTGGGTTTTTTTTCTTTTTCTTTTAAAAATAGCAGTTGATCAATCCGTAATAGAAGTGGTGCTAGGGAGACTCATGTTGATTTGTATCAAAGAGTTGAGTTAACGTGGAATAGTATCTTCCTTAAAAGTTGTGTGCCAGTAACTCACGTTTGTATTCCTAGCTTCCAAGGAGGCTGAGATCAGAAGATTGAGGTTTGAAGACAGGTAGAGTAGAAAACACCAAGAGACTCCATCTCCAAAATAGCAAAAAGCTGAAATGGAACATGGCTCAAGTGGTAGAGCACCAGCTGAGCAAGCAAGCTCAGAGAGAGTATAAGAACTTTTCCCACATCTTTTTCATTCGCATTTGCACTGCCCTGCAGTGTTGGACAGGAGGCATCGTAAGGCATCAAGAAGTCAAAGACTCGCCTCTAGCTGTGGCTAGA